GCAAATATTTTCAGGGCTAAAGAAACATATTTTCTGTTTACTCTCTTTGAAAAAAGTCCAAAATAACTGGGTTTCTGCTGTTTTTTTTGTAAATTTAATCTACTAGATACCTCTTTTGTTATAATATCAAGATATTATGTTTTATAACTAAAAATTAACAAAAAAACCCAAACATTTTTCGAAAAATACTAAATTTTCATTTTTTTATATACACCTAAAAAAATATACCACCCTAAAAATATTTGTACCTTATTTAAGATCAAATCTTAATCTCATCACACCTTTTTATGATATAGTCTATAGTTTTTTTTATGATCAGTCCATTTTACAAATTCCAATCTCACTTTTTTCTGTAGACATGTTTTTAGATTTGACCTTATCAAACTCTTAATAATTGTACTTTAATTGAACCACTGTACCATTTGATTGACATAATATTAATGATCTCGAGAGTGTGTAAATTTCCTGGTTCAATTATGTTTACCATTTAAATTAAGTTTACTTTGAATATAACTTAATTTGTAACGATATTAAGAATTTTTTTAAGGAAGTTTGATGGTGATAAACAATAATTAACGATGGTTGTGTATTTAGGAAGAATTAAAAATATTTTATTATACAGAGTGAGTCTGATATACAAAGTGCAAATATTTTCAGGGCTGGTAGATGTCGATAAAAGAAACATATCGTCGGCTTTATGACGAAAAGGCGTATCTCGATTTTTGGCGATTTTGAGATATCAACGTCATGACATGCCCAATGGGTCATATTTTAACATAGCGAATTTGCGCATCTCAATATTGTACCTTTTTCATTTTATATTCGTTTAAAAATTTGTCCCATCTCAAATATTACAATTCTTCGTTATGACGAAGAGACGTCATAATGTTGAGATAGGGCTCTTTGTTATATCAATTGTTATTCTAATTGTTATACTACAAGAAATATGGAATTTGAGATAGGTCCTTTTGTTTTGAGTTATAAAAATGCATGCGAGAGAAAATCACACCATTCATTCTGCCTAATTATTTTCTGATTGTTGCTTGGGACAAAATAAAACTTCTATCATGGCAGCAGCTTTCTTTAACAGTGTGATTTTGAGTCTGCTTTTTTGCCAAAAACCATTGTTAGAATGAGCTAGACTCTGCACAGAGCTGTATTGGGTATCCAAAAGATTGTCCGAGAATAAATGGCCGAAGGAAAATTGATCGAAAGCAACGAAAACGAAAATTGCCCCCCCCCAAATGGTTAATTTCCCGAAATCATAATTTCCCTAAGAACATTTTAGCAAACCAGAAACTTGCCCGAAAAATAAAATAATTTTCAATTCATTATCACTGTCAGGCTATTGGCATTGTCATCCCTGCCAATTTTTGGAAAATTTTTTTCATTGTGCCGATCATCATCCAGCATAAACATGTAGAATGGAAGTCGAATTTGTTATTATTGAATAGAAAAAAACAGAAACTGTTACTCCACAGTTATTTCTATCAAAAAGGCACGAATGAAGAAACATGTTTTGTTTTTGTTTAATTTGGTTTTTTACTAAATGGTCCGTGTGTATGCTCTGTACTAATGCCCTCAATTAACTAAATAATTACTAAAAATATATTAGTTAAAAAATACATTTTTGTATAAAAAACAATATTATTAAAATAAGCTAGATAAGAGTATTTTAATTTATTATTGTCTTTGCTTATGGAATGAAAATTGTCTTTGTTTTCAGTTGATCTAATCCAACGCGAATAAAAGTATTTAAAAATATTTATTTCTGATTTTTTGGTTATTTTCAATTTTTTTCTTGTATGTATGTATTTTTATTTTTATATTTATTTATTTTTTTTTCCTTATTAAAAACACTTTACCATCATTTTTAAATTTATTTTACATGGGCGTACGTATACAATTCGTTCGGAAATAAATTTATTATTATTATAACAAAAAGGCCTATCTCTATTAAACAACTAAAAATAAATTATTTATTAGAATTTACGCTCAATTTATCTTCAGAACGTTTCCTGAATGTCTCCGTTTAAGTGATAATACAAAAACAGTAATTTTCTTTAAATTGCTCTCCTGAAAAGTAGCAAAAATCCAGATACGCCTTTTCGTCATAAAGCCGACGATATTTTCTCTTTACCATTTTTCAGATAAGTCCAAAATAACCGAGTTATTTAGGTAAGTTTGAAAATTAAAAAAAAAATGATTTTTTTTGAAAAAATTTTGAGAGCCACCGGATTTTTTCTGTATTTGCATCCCTTTTAGTGCCGTAACTATGGAGTAAAGCCGTAACTATGATAATATCAGAGATTATGAAATTATACCGTGGGAAAATTTGCGGTGAACAGGCAGTTCTAAAAAGTTTTCGAAAAATATACAGGGAAATTTAAAAGAAAGTGAACTATTTTCAACATCTTTTTTTGCGAAAAAACCTCATAGACTTATGTAAGTTAATGATATTAAATTTTTTTAAAGGTTGCTATTAGATTTGGATCAAGGCAGATTAATAAAATTGCGTTTATCTCATCAAGGAGGCCAAAATCGACAAAATATCAAGAAGCAACTTTTAATCGGCATTAAATTGCTTACACTGTTTCGCTAACAAGAGAAAAAAAAATCAGTGGGGTACAAGCTTTTTTTAGAAAAATATTCCAGTGATAACCTATATGCACGTCTCTGGTGAATATGTCGACACTGTTTTAGCTTTAAAATATGTATCTAGCATTTATAATAACTTTTACCCTCAAAATTTCATTCGAAACGCTAAAAGTACTTGGAAGAAAATTATAATAAATCGAAAAAATATTAAGCCTTTAACACCCTGTAGCTACAAAACGAAAGCGATGGTTGATGCATTTTTTCACTGACATAATTAAAACAGGCACTATTCCACAGTCACTAAAAAGCGCTAAAATCATTGCCATCTTAAAGCCTTGTAAGCCTAACGACGAGCCACAAAGTTATCGCCCAATCGCACTGCTGAGCACAATCTACAAGCTTCTGGAGAGACTAATCTACAACAGAGTAAGCCCAAAGATAATAGAGAGTATACCGATTGAACAGGCTGGCTTACGTCCTGGACGTAGCTGCGTGGATCAGGTTCTGTCCCTAACAACTTACATCGAAGCAGGATTTCCACGCCAAGAAAAAACATCAGTTGCTTTTATTGACTTGACCGCGGCGTACGATACAGTTTGGAGACAGGGACTGATCTGTAAGCTAGCTAAAGAAATCCCCTGCCAAAGGACCGTCAGCCTGGTCGACGATATGCTCCGAAATAGACTCTTTCAGGTAAAACTGGGAGAGAAAGAAAGCAAAAAGATGAAACTTAATAACGGATTGCCACAAGATTCTGTCTTAGCTCCATTGCTGTTTAATTTATATATCGCTGATATGCCTGCTACTTCAGCTAGAAAATTTGGGTATGCGGATGATTGGACGATAGCCTAATCAAGACATAAAAACCTCGAGGAGACAGAGGCTGTTCTTGCGGAAGACCTGTATTCCCTGGGAAACTACTTCCGCCAGTGGAGGTTGCAACCGAGCGCGGTAAAGACGGAAGTTAGTTGTTTCCATCTTAATAATAAATTAGCAAACCAAGAACTTAAAATAAGGTTTGAAGGTAACTGGCTGTTCCACAACAACACCCCAAGATATTTAGGCATTACACTAGATATGACATTGTCCTTTAAGAAGCACCTCACACAAACTGCATCTAAGCTCAACACTCGGAATAATATCCTCCATAAATTATGCGGCACCACGTGGGGGTCATCCGCGAGTACCTTGCGCTCCTCTGCTGGGCTTGGTTTACTCTACTGCTGAGTACTGTGCCCCGGTGTGGCTCAATAGTTCTCACACAGGAAAGGTGGACGTCCAATTGATCAACACAATGCGTATTATATCAGGAACAATAAAATCAACTCCCACCCAATGGCTTCCTATTCTAAGTAATATTCCTCCACCACATATACGCAGGCAGTATGCACTTTTTAGAGAATACACTAAAATTACTAACATGCCGCAATTGCTGATACATTTGGATGTCCATGACCTGGATAGGAACAGACTTCGTTCAAGACGTCCAACATTAACAACTGCAAGCAGCTTACACCGGGACGGTTTTAAATTAACGGAGTCATGGATTAGGGAATGGGAATCAGAGTTACCAGACCACGCCGGGAATATGCCGGCTATAACTCAGAACCCTTTAGGCTTTGACATGCCACGTAAAACATGGTCTGCGTTAAACCGGATCAGGACAAATCATGGGAGGTGTGCCGATTCCATGTTTAAATGGGGAAAGTCAGCTTCCCCAGAATGCGACTGCAACACCGGCAGACAAACTATCCGGCACATAGTAGAAGCATGCCCGGTAAGATCCTATTCCGGTCCCTTTGATGATCTCCTGGAAGCTACAGACAGTGCAGTCATCCGTAATTTAGATGTTTGTTTGTAATACTTGTTATATGTATATTCGTTTGTACATTTTAGACTCTTGTCAGACTATTATTATTGTTTACACACATACTTGTTTCCTGCTCTTTACTTCTACAGTGATTGTAATTCCATGTTTTGTTGTGATGTTTATCCATACGATAGATAGATAGCTACAAAACAAAGCAGAATCGGACCTATGTTGATATGAAAAATAAATCTTATTTTTAAAAAAGGAATCTTCTTACACATGTTTTTTGAAACACCCTGTATAGACTAATAGTGGAGATACCGTGTGATTTCAACCAAAATGGGACACCCTGTATCATGGAGACCAAATCCATTGATACAGAAGACAGGAAGTGACACCAAAAAATAAGTTTTCCGTTTATTAAGATTAATGATGCAATTAAACGCCCCTAGCTCACTAAACATGGCGCCTCACCCATATCGGTGCTGATCTAATTTCATACAAAACCACCGCATAATGGGTGTCTCGGTACATAAAAAAATCTCTTCAAATCGTCTCTCGCTACTAAGTTCACGGTCTTCTTTCTTCTGATGGTTCATATCGCGGGTGGTAAGGGTATATATGGAACGGTACCATTTTGGAGTACCATCATTCGCTCTTAGTACCACCGTAGTAACGCGAATACGTTGCATAAATTAAGATGTTGGTTAAATTTTTGGTAAGTGTGTGATGTGAGTGAATTTGAGTGGTATACGTATATTTATGGTAATTTGTGAGGTATTTCGTTTATACGTATGATTATATACGTACCGCTTGAGGGCATGGTATTACATAAAATGGTAATACCTTGGCGTACAAACGAGATAGCAAAGTTAAAGATATATATCTCAAAATATAAAAGTTAAATATTGAAATTGGTAAGTGATGTTACAGTCAATATTTATGAAACGTTTACTTCAAAAGATTCAGTGTTTGGTTTGGTTTCGTACATTTTCTTTCAAAAAAAAAATGTTTTTGGAAGTGTTAAAACACCATTACTTGTTTAAAACTTGTTTTAAATATAAATGTTTGAAATTGTTTAAAACGATGGTTTAAACATGATGGTGTGTGGTTGTTTTTTCTTCAATAAAAACTAGAAAAAAACTTTTGAAATATTTAATAGTAACTATTATAGTTTAAAACGGAGTTTCAAATAAGGGTTTTAAACAAGGTACTTCTTTTGGAGCTAAAATAAAATTTAAAATAATAAACATTCTTTTTGTTCATACCAACTCTTAGAATTGCCTTATATCTATCAACCATAGTAGATAAAATAGTACTTTAACGGCAAGGGTAGATTAAATGATACTTTAACAGCGAGGATAGGTTAAAAACTTTATTTCTTCTCGCACGTTTTTTATTGCTTCCATTTTTGAAAATTTTTGTATTCTTTTTAGGTTGGATATGGCGTTTGTCGCCTCACCCTGAATATCTGTTGGTAATTTACTTATTTCGTTTTGAGCCATTTCTGGCTCCAAATCAATCAGCAATCGACACGAAAGAGAATTAAAAAATATTGACTCAAAACTGACAACTAAAAATAAATGTGAAAATCCGAAAAAATCTCCCGAAATTAATTCACTAGCGATTTTATCTATGAAGTGATATATAAAATTTTTCGGAAATTTTGAAAAAAAAAATTAAAACTTTCAACAACTCTAGATAACTAGATAAAAATATAGTCTATTGTTTTATTGGGAGTAAAAATGATACTTTCTGTGGAGAGATTCGAGGTTCTACTAATTACAGTTGAGGGTTGGAATTTTGGTGTTATCAGCAGATGATTAACACTAAAGCAAAATGAATAAAGCTTTAATAATTACTATTTTAGATATTAGTTAGAGAAACGCGCTTCCAGGGTAAAAGTATAGTGTTCTGGTGTATTCTGGTGAGTTAGTGTTTTATTTTACTTTTTGCGAGGCAATACGTAAGTCATTTTTACTCCGAGAAGTAGATGTTTCGTTTTTTCAAACGTCACAAATAATTTTTTTAACATTTCAAACTTTCATTTGTAAATAATATAAACAGATATAAAAGTGTGTAATACTTTGCAAGTAATTATATATCGAGGAACTATGGTTACACTCATTGAATTTTGACACTTTCTGTCAGTTTAAAGGCGTAAAAGTACTTTACACTTATGCCTAATCGTTAAACTGACTTTTTTATATAGTCAATCACGTTGCAAAAATTCATACTTTTTGAAGTTTGAAAAAATAACTTTTTTTCAAAACTTTTTGGTAATCGCCATTAGCGTAACTGGCAATTTATCCTGGGGTGGGCTAGGAGGGGGCCTGGGGTTGAGCCCAGGGGGGGCCTAGGGCTTTTGTTTTTTTAGAAATGAAAAATAATTTAAAAAAAAACCATTTTTGAATAAAACGTTTACATGAATTTCTCTATCAATAACTCTCATAGACTTGCTTATCAAACCGTGTTCCCGTAGATTACTTAAATATCTACAAATTTTCTAAAAAAATAAAAATTAACATATTTTTTGAACACAACAAAATAATATTAAGTAAACAAAACTAGAAAACGTCATTTTTACTGCATCACAAGCAAATAAAAATTAATACGTAGCCAAGAGTCATAATTCATGATTTCTCTGGGGGGTGAAAAGCAGGACCTGGGGGGGGCTTTACCCCCGGGCACCCCTGTAGTTGCGCCAATGGTAATCGCTCTGTTTAAATGTTATATTTCAAGACAATTTATTAAAAAAGAAATATTCTTTTATTTTAGAATTAAAATGTATTCTATTGCTACTTTTATTGTTCACTATTAAATTACTATATTATTTTTTATTAACTTATTTGCGCGTTCTTTGGCACTTTGTATAGCATTTCACTTTTTAGATTGCATAAATGCTAGCCCTTATATAAGTCAGAACAGACGCACTTGCACAGTAATATGTAATTACGGTTTTCATAACATACGTTTGTTATGCTAAGTGGTCAGATTTGTTCGGAAACACGTAATTGAACGCTTTACTACCATTCTACCCAATCAAACACTTTCACTTATAGCGTATTTCTATTATTTTTCGTAAAGGTACCATAAAATGTTCAGGGAACCCAGAGACATAAGTAAACTTGGAGGTGTTTTAATGATACTTTTTGGTATAATCATTAATTTTAGTTTGTAGATGTAGATTGTTAGGTTCGGTTAGAAAATTTTTCACCGCGACTTTATAGATCTATCGTGTCCAAAGACATTATAAAGATAGACCGGACATCTCATTCATAAATACTCGTTGGAAGTGTATCAAACATTCCAATGTGTCAAACAAGGACAGAAGAGACAGAGAAGTCTAAAATTTCCGACCCCGGCAACTAGGCGCATTTGGATTGTTCTAATGGCTAGTGGCGTATCGTTTTTTGGAAGGAATTTAATTAGTAAAGTAAAAGTAAAGTAATTAGTAAAATTTTTACTCCATATTAATATACTACATTAACACTTTTTCGTCAGATGAGTTTTGTTATAAGGTCTAATATAATAATATAATTAATATCCCATATATACTTAAGTTGAAACGTTAGTAGGTAGTTTTCGAAAATCGCTCCAACGTCGATTTTCAATTTAAACTTTCAGTTACTTCTATATAAACTTTCAGTTACTTTTGAATATTTACAGGGTGACTCAAGTTTCTGCAACAGTTCTATATTAGGTTTGTGGTTGGTGACTTTTCTGTCAATTTTTTTTTTCAGAATATGGAGGCAATGGTAAAGCACATTTTAGACATTTTTGTAAACATAGGTGGCCGGAACATATTTTCAAACTAAAGTTGTAGATTTACCATTAAATTTCCATTCCAGAAATACCTAGGATTGCCACCTGTCCTTTTTTGAAAAGGACAGTCCTTTTGACTTTTTTTGACTTAAAAAGTAATTTTTATTTACGTATTTTGCTTGAGAAAATTACCTAGAGCAAACAGAAATATTCTTTTCGTCCAAATTTAATTAGAGATGTTATAAAACTTATAAATAATTTTTTCTTGTTTAGAATAGGCAACATTATTTAGAACTTCCCGTTTAATCTCAAATGATAGTTTAGGTTTTAGTTTTACCTTTTTTGATCTTAAAAAGAACTTTTCAAAATTAGTAATTAGTAACGATTTAGTTAGTTCGCAATCGATAGCTTCCTGTGAAGTACTGTGTAATAGTTGTTTAATCTTGTATTATTAATAACTTCCTATACCTAAAATGAATATTTAATGAGAAAATTGTGTTTTTTTTGAAAATATAAGACAAGATTTGACTTTGGGTCTTCTTCTTGTATTATGATGGCTCTGATACGAGGCAATTGCCTTTTAGTCTCTCAATAGAAGGCATTTATCATTAAAAGTATCAAATCTGTGTGCTACAGTATGGGATTTCTGTCGCATAATATTGAATATTACGTTTATTTACAAACCCATTACTTTTAAAGGTAGCTTCATCAGACAATCAAATTTTAGAAAAATGTCTGAATCTTCATGAACTGTATTAAGCATATGTATTGTGGTTTGAATCACCCTGTATGTTGACAAACATATTTTGAAAATGTGCGACAAACCAAAAACGTAATAGGTAAAAGGCTTTTTTGGAGGCCTGGGTCACTCTGTATATAGGTATGTATAAAACTAGTAGCCTAAAAATTATTTACACTTCGTCCCATTCTAAAAAAAAAGGTACACCGTACAAATAACTCTAGGAAGAGGTATTTGTACGGTTGTAAAAAATTGTTTAAACCAGGCCGAAGGGGCAGATATAATAATGCAATAAAATGTAGAAAAGGGCGGGTAAACACCTACGTATTTGTTGAGCAAAATTCCTTTAGAATATCGTATATAATGACCAAAATATGACGCAATTTTAAGAAAAAAATATCACTTTCTGGCTTATAATAAAGTTTCAAATGCAACGTTTATATTCAAATTTGTTATGATCTACAACAGTTAAGTAGTAATTGAGTCGAATTATAATTCAATTACCGGCTACTACGTTCCTGTTTTAATAGCTCAAAATTCAACAAATATAATTAGAAATTATTTTAATTGTGAGAGGCTCCCTTGTGGGACGCCTATGTACGGCGATTACGGCGCAGCGGAAACAATACCTACCTGTGAAAAGACAAATTCAGGTAATTTGAGCTTATTTTTCCACACATTTGACACTGTCGTACCATATTAAAAATCGCAGATTCAAAAGTACGTTAAACAAAAGCAAAAACTACTGAAAAACACTGAAAAGTTCACTTCGGACTTGATTCCGACTTCAAACACACCGTAAGCTAAACGTAGTACGCTATAACGGACCAAGGGCCGTCGCGAGGGGTGGTGCGACGGACGGCTCATTTCCATTCTGGAAGACTAGCAGCGACGTTGCCAATAGTTCTAGACGTTTCAGCACATTAAACAATAAACATGTCCTTTAATAGTAACGCATATATCCTCTGGTTAATCACGCATGCATCTTTAAAAATAAACTATTAATTTAATTAAGAAATTGAGATTTATTGATATCCGGTGAAGGTTTTAAAGTCACCTTTTCTACAAATCAAACTAAGCAGATAGGGGCAAATTTGAGATGTGGCAATGTCGCCTTCTCTATCTCAGTTGGTTTTTACAGTACGTAGTCAACCTCCGATTGTTTGATCGGGTTAAAATGCACAATGTGATATCTGTTCTTCCTAAATCTATGATCGTGTCCCTGTTTCTTCAGTTATAACTCCTTATACAGTTTCAAAACTTTAGCCAGTATCTGATACGTTTTTACAGATCTTTGTTCTCCATCTCCGATATCAGTCGTACCAAAGTTTATAACACAAATGGTTGTTGTCTCGGCGAACTCATTGATGAGGTATTCTGGTGTTTGGTTTGGTTGCTACGAAACTTTCTACGAATTCGAAAATTTCCACGAAAACTTAATGGGGATTAACCCCAACTAGCATTTATACGTAACTATACGTAACTGCTACTATCAAAGCCACTACAAAGTGGGCGATGACCATCGGCGGCTACGTCGTATATACGTAGCTGCTAAGTAACTGCGACCAAAATGGGGAAAGATTTCGAGTAGCCGGGTAGTGTCTTAGGTAGTTTTTGCCACTAAAAGAGTTACTATGATGTGTTACTATAGTAGTAGAATACTAAAAAGTAGCCTACTGGTGAATGCGACTTATCTGTTACGAAGCTGCCTAGTCGCGGGGCCGTGGCAGCCAAGTGTTATCCACCGACATGCGACATGTGGACCTTTCGTTAAACTGTTGAACTTTATTCGCAGCGACCTCTTCATGCAATTTCACATTTCATAAAAATAAATGTCATGATGGAAAATAATAATTATGGAAGCCATTATTATTTTTTCGTTAGTTGTTATTTACCGTGCGTCTCTTTACCATTTTTCAAATAAGTCCGAAATAACCGGTATATTTTACTTCGAACATTAAAAAAAATATATTTTTTGGTTAAATTTTGAGAATCACTGTATCTTTTCTGAGTTTTCTTTCTTGTAAATTTAATCTACTACCTATGTCGCTATATTATTCCAAGTTTTTTTTAAATTCCAAATTTTCAGTCTTTTTTCTCGAAAAAAAAAACTCGTAACCGTGTTTCTGGGGTCGAACTATACTATCCCCAAATATATTTGCACTTTAATTAACTTTTAAGACTCACCCTGTATAACTTTATATACGAATGAAGTGCATAGGTGCATTTAAAATGGATCTCATAACGGGATTATGTAACGGGTAGGTAATAAATAACGAACTTTTCAGTAGTTTTTCAGTTGTATTAACAATCCTGCGAATAGTACGCGGCGCTCTCACGATTGTTGTCGATCGGTTACCTCATTCGGTACGAGAAAATAGAAAGTTTGCAGTGACCTTTCGCCACATTGACTTTTAATAAATTTCTATTAAAAACAAAAATCGCTATACTTACTTTAAGAAGGATTTAATTAAATTTGAACAAAAAATAACTATTAAAAGATACAAATTAGATTAGTTTTTTTGTGGTTATAAATTATAACGCACTCATTAAAATTTAAATATATTTGAAAGTTCAATATATTTTGATCTAGTGGGCCGATTTTAATAATTTTTAAGCAATTTTTAGTTAAATTATTTGTCTGAAATTAACTCTTTTGAAATTTAAAGTTAACATTATTTCTCATATTTGCTTACACCTATTTGTTTCAATTGAAAAGTTAAATATGGTTTATTTTTCAGGTTCTACTTTGCTCTTCTACAACAGTGGTACTCTCCCAATACCAACCTCAACCCGTCCAACAACTCCCAGCTCAGTACCCCGCAGGAATCGATCCGAAATCATGCCCGAACTACCCTGAATGCTCCAATCCCCTGGTAGGAGTCCAAACAGTCAAATCTGCACAACAGTACGCTCAGCCTCAGCCTCAAGCTCAATACCAACCTCAAGAGTACAGAGCTCAACCTCAGTACCAACCCCAGTACACTGCACAGCCCCAATATCGGCAACAGCCTTTGGCTTATCAAGCTCAGTACCAGCAGCCTCAGTATCAGCAAGCTGCTCAGCCCGCCCAGCAAGAACAGAGTCAGTATTCTCCTGATGTGCAGCAGAAGTTGGATCGTGGTGAATACATTGGTGATGGTGACTACCATGGAGAAGGGTTGGCTGAATCATTAGCACCAGAATATGCTGGTATGTAGTATTACACACGTTTATACCTATTATACCAAATAAACTTTAAAACAAACGGAATAATTATTTTTTCGGACCTCATTGTTTGATATCTAAGCAGTTGATTTAGAAAGATCAGATGTTTCGACTTTCCTTAAGCTTCATTCAGAACCTCCCAATTAGTGAAATAAATTAGTGGTTTCAATTACACTTTATACTTTAGTATACGATCATTCACAATGTCTAAAAACCACTATTAAAAGCTTTGAATAAGAAGACTAAGGAAGGAGCGTATCAAAAATCTTAGGTCCACCGCGATAGGCCTCAAATATGGCCGACTTAAATTCCGGTTTATCAGTGCCGTTCTAATTTTATTTAAAAAATGTAAAACTATGATGTAGGGTAGACGTGGGGTAGACTCAATATTTTTTTATTTATTTTACGTTGTGAATAAATGTTGGTACTTACTAAAATTGTTATAAAAATAAAAAATTCTAATAAAAATATATAAGTTATAATAATTATTTATAACCATAAACATCCGATACGCTACTGAAGGAGGTAAGTCAAATTGACGTATCTAAATTCTTTGACATCTAATCTTTGACAAGTAGTAAATAAAAGCAAAAATGCAAGAAAAAATATATAATTAGTTAATTTAAGTGAATTTCATAAATGATCGGTTTACTACACGTATGTATATTATATAGTCACTTACTAGCGAAAAGTTGTTCCATTATTTCACTCGATTTTTGCCGCGATCTACCGCACGCTACACAACTATTTTAGAATCTTTTTCGATAAATCGCGATAGTGTCACTGTTAATTTAAGTTCTGCCACAATTTCCATCTAGATTTACTACCTTTATACAACTATCAGTAGTAGAATAAATAATAAATAACATCAAATAAGCTCCGTAAAGACTGACAAATCCACAAAATTTCAAATCAAATTCAAATGTGTCAAATGAATCGTCAAACAGAACTGTCAAGGATCCCTACCCTAGAGTCCTTTTTCCGCCCACCATGCATGAATACATGGATAGCATTATGCTCCTTCCTTAGTCTTCTTATTCAAAGCATGGTACAAATGCTTTAACCTATAAACCAAATTTCAGCTTTCAATACGCCGAATTTATGATTTAACCAATGCTTATTTAAGATCATGTATTTGTCAATTTTACACAAGTTTTATTTTTTATCTCGAAAACTATTAGAGATTGGTACAGGTTAGGTTGTAGTAGATAGAAAAATCATTTTCCTCTCACCTACTTACAAGATCGCCATAGCGATTCACTCTCACTTCAAAACTTGGTAAAAGCCGACCCAAGACCCTTTTCTTAAAATAAAGACAGGTATTGCAAGACAATGGAAATCCGAAGTTCTTTTGAAGATATTAATCAACAAATATATTAAACATTGTTAAATCGGATATAGCTAAGAACTGTCTCAGCTTTAACGTGTGTTGCCGTTTACTAAAACCAAGTTTATGTATGCTCTTCCAGGTCCTCAGCAACAATCAGCTGCCCCAGTCCAACAAGCGGCAGCCCCTCAATACTACCAAGCTCAACCGGCCCCTGTAGCCTACGCTCCACAGCCTCAGCAATACTCTCTCCAATACGCTCCAAGTAACGCCCAAAGTGTTCAAACCCCTGCGTTTGTAGCCGCATCCCAATATGCCCAAGCCAGGTCTTACAGCCCTTCACAGAACGCTTTGAGTATTCGGTCTCTCCCGAGTCAGTCTGCTCAAATTCCAGCTGGTTTGGACCCCAACGCTTGTCCAAATTACCCTTTTTGCCATTAGTGAGGATGTTAGATGGAAGTTTTTTGTATTTATTCTTAATTTATGTAAAGTGTATTATAAACTGTGAGCAATATATTCGAAAATAAATGTCTGAAAGAAATATATAATTTATTTACTTTATTTAAATGTTTTAGAAAATCATACTCGCCTCTAAATCGTATCTCTTTAATATCTATACTAATATCTGTGCTAATATATAAAATCCTTATTACAGTTGAGGGTTGGAACCTTTGGTGTTACACAGCAAAATAAAATTACACTAAATCACCACAATACACCAAACTCTTTTACTTTTACACTGGACGTGCCTTTCGCTAACCATGTTAGCATCATCAGCAGATGATTATAAACTCAATTAAACAGTAGTTTATAATCATCTGCTGATGATGCTAACATGGTTAGCGAAACGCGCGTCCAGTGTAAAAGTAAAAGTGTTTTGGTGTATTGTGGTGATTTAGTGTAATTTTATTTTGCTAAAATCCTTAAGTGACTGACATACTGATTAATCACGATCCTGCTCAAACCACTCAACGTAAGAAGCTCAATTTTGGCATACAGGTTGATTCTAGGGTGTAGAGGTTCGATAAGAAGGGATTTTTCGAAATTCCAGTTCCAAGAGGGTGAAACCACCCCTCAAATATTACAATATTTTTTATTTAAAAAACGGTCAAGTTTCCAAAAAAACGCTTAAACGCGTATATTTTATTTTGTGCTTTTACATATTTTAAGATTTTTTAAAAATGTATACAGGGTGTTTCGAAAAATCTGGTCATTGATTAATCACGATCCTGCTTAAAGTGCTTGACATAATCCCTCAAATATTAAAATATTTTTTATTTAAAAAACTTATATTTTATTTTGCTGTTCTACATATTTTAAGTTTTTTTTATAAATTTATACAGGGTGTTTCATAAAATAAGACCATTGAGTAATCACGATTCTGCTTAAACTGTTTGACGTTTAAAGCTGATGTTTGGCAAACGGATTGATTGTGGGGTGTAGAGGTTCGACAAGGAGGGGTTTTTCGAATCTCAAAAAAAAAACTTTAAACTAAATTCTCCTAGAATCTGATAAGCAATTAATATATAGGATGTTCCATTACAAAAAACCAACTTCGATGTGTAACATTTTTTGGGGACACCGTGTGGAACTCTCTATATTTTTAAAAAATCCTCTAAATTCACCTACATATACTCACAAAATTTCATTTCAATACAAACTGTCTTTCTCCTTGGAGCCTCCGCGTCGTATGAGAGGCGCCACCCTGTATAGTTATCATGTTTATCATCTTTTGCTACCAATCAGTCGAAAACTAAATAGGTGATGCTTATAAAAATTGTGTAAAATATGTCCATCCTGTATGAAAAGAGAGCAAAATAAAGTGAGAATTATTACTTAAACACACCCCGCAATCTAGATATCCGCAAGAGCATGACCGTAGGTAGGCCTATGGCGCATTGTTCTCAAGGTCAAGGCGCATTAACAGCGACACGAAAATATTCCTTCCATTGGAAAAATCTAATCTGGGCAGAGTTGATGGAAAAGACCTTAGAGTATTTAACACGTAGATACGCCTTGCTTAGTCATTTTGAAGCCCACTAAAACTGCGATGATTATGAACATCGTGTTATGAGAGAGAATTAATAGTTATTTATCTATCAGGGGAATTACGAGCCCTAACAACTACATGTTCGGGCAAACAAAAATTTATTAAAATTTTTATTTTCATTAACTGAATTATTTATATATATATATATATATATATATATATATATATATATATAAATTCGGGTCAGAACGTTCTACGACGTTGTCCGATGCCTAACTTCCACCCTGTGCGACTTTCCCATCGATCTTCGGTCAGATTTTTCTCGCTCATCGACCTTCTTATTCCTTCCATCCATGTTTTCTTGGGACGTCCTCTCTTTTGTTTACCAGGTGGTATGACAATTTGACCCGAAATACCAAGTATGAGGTACCAAATTATTCCTAAAAAAATGCTTTTTTCAAATATGCTAATGAGCCACCCTCGTTCCATTTGAAAAAACCGAGATATGATTAAAAATACGATTTGAGCATTATCTAACTTGCCAGGACAAGACAGGAAAAATATTAGACGATCAAATATATTTTTCCAAGGCTCCTTGATTAAAAATTAGTGTTTTTAACACAGCCATGACACTCTAGATTGAAATTTAAAATATAATTTTTTTAAGCGAGAATCTCAAAAGTTGAAAATATTGCAATGAATCTCCTTGTAGTACAAATAATGAGAAGATTAGGTGGAAACATGGACGTAACAATTATATTTTTCTAGGGAGGTAGTACTAATAAACAGAAAACATCATAAACATTAACGTTTCTTTTCTTAAATTCGAATGAGTGGCAACCTCTAATCAGTTATACAGAAGGATTTGTTAACATTTCAGCTCTACCTCATTATTTTCTTCCGATCCGACAGTGGTTAAACGAGAGATTTCCGGGTACATAGATTGGCAGAAGGGGACCAACTGAATGACTTCCAAGATCATCGGATTTAACACCCTTAGATTTCTTTCTTTGGGGACATCTTAAATCCATTATTTATAGAACACAGAGCCTACTGATATTGATGATCTTAAAAGGCGAATTACAGCAAAATGCCGGTCAATTCCCGGTGAAGTTTTCCGAAATGTTAGGGAGGAGTTTGAAAACACACTTTATTATTAAAAATTAACTTATTTTTTGAACACGACAAAATAATATTAACTAAACAAAACTAAAAAACGTCATTTTTACTGCATCACAAGCAAATAAAAATTAATACGTAGCCAAGAGTCATAATTAAGGATTTCTCTGAGGGGTGCCCAGCAGTACGGGGGGGGGCGGCACCCCCGGGCACCGCTGTAGTTACGTCAATGCTTCTAATATTTTGTACTATAAGGAGATCCATTGCAATAATTTTTGTGTAAACACTAGACTGAAAACCAAAATCTCAATGCAGGCTTGTTTAATGGGCTCTTTCACTATATTTTGGAATTAGCGTAATTGAATAAAGCAATTAATTCTAGAATTTTCTGCTATCTCACTTTCGAAAAATTTGAAGTCGTTCTTAAGAAAATAAATAAAAACAAAAAAGCCCAGAATAAAAATCCGTACTTTATTTTTAATACGTCACACCTGGCATGTTGAAAAGCGGCAACACGGCCGGGCCACCATGCTGACCCACCACCATCTCCACACAAGGCTATTCAACCTTTTCCAATATGGTGGAGTTAGAAGTGCTTTATTTGGCACGTATTTTAAAACCTGTTTTATTTCCAAATAGACATTTTTCACACAAATGTCGGGTTAGATTACGTAATATTTCACTAATTTTTTAATGTACAGGGAGTCTAAAGCTCTCCACATAAGTATGGAATTTTTTGTATTATTACTTTTATAAAAACATCAGTTAGTTACTTTTTATAAAAAGGTCTGCTTTCTCAGAAAATAGGTAGGTAGCGTACTAGTGTGTAAATATTCAAACTTGAGGTAGCATATATAGGGTGTTCAAAATCATCGGAAAAAGAAATAACCAGAAATATATGACAGAAAATAGCAATATAAACTAAATATTCAATTGCAAACACTCACCTACCATAGTTTAGAAGTTACTGCACGTTAGATAAATATATACTATTATGGACAGTATAGGAAGTTACTTGTCTTAGTAAAAGCCTTGGTAAATGCTCTTGGAATTATAAACTACACTGGCTTGGGTCAAAAAATATGGAATATTTTTCCTATGTTTTGCACCATTACACAAATGGGAATAAATTTAAACTATAATAGGTGAGGATAACTAAAAAATATAATATGTGTTTCAAGATTTTATATAGAAAAAAAAACTAAATACCTTTTTATAACGTCATTCCTTTTTTTGCATAGTTCTTCAATAACATATAGGATAATCTGAACAAGATAGATTTAATAATAAATTCTGACGTATGTGAGGGGCAATTGTGACCTAAAAAAAGACTTACATCCAGGCCATTTATATTTTCAAATGTGAATGTTGTCGATATCTTTCTGTGATCTTTTTGGTGATGGGTTTATAGTGAGGTAAGTGTAAGCAGTAGCCATAACTACATCTTCACTAGGGTAACAGAGGCTTTGGCCTTTGGCCTTTTTGAGGCATATTTAATGCACTTCTTACCCGAGAACTACTAGTAGGAGTGAAATTATCTCTTTTAATAGCTGTCAACCATTTTTTACGAAGCTCGTCATTTTTGGGGAATATAAAAGCAGAAACCTTGGGACCCCCTCTATAATTCTCGTGACAATTTGGAACAGAGCATGTAAAAGGTATGCTACAATAAAATGTTAATACCTACCCTTTAATACCTATCTTTTGATTATTGTAAGTAACCGTTATAAAGTACTATGCAGACTGCCGTTGAAGGCTTTTTAGTCATTTAGGTGTAATATCTTGATAAATACTTCTAGTTCTTACCTTAAAATAATTAATAATAGAGGAGTACGACAAGCAGAAACGAAAAAGGATCTGGCGCAGGAATTTACTGCAGCAGTCCAAAGACTGAGATCTACCACAGTCTTGGAAAACACACCACGATCTTCCAAGCTGAGCTATATGCTATTGAAACCTGTGTGCAACTGCTGGTAGAACAGCAATACACCGGGAAAACAATATGCATATTTTCGGATAGTCAAGCTGCGCTGAAAGCACTTGAGGCAACGAAAAGCACGTCTATGACGATTCTTCATTGTAAGAAACTACTCAATATACTGGGAGATAGGAACAAAGTGTCGCTAATATGGATACCGGGACATGTCGGCCTAGAGGGAAATGAACGTGCTGATTCCCTCGCGAAAATTGGTGCAGACTCGCCATTCGTGGGCCCAGAACCGGCACTTAGCGTTCCCAAAAATCTCGCAAGAGACAGGCTCTGTGAATGGGTTGGGGGTGAGACATTCCGAGACTGGAATGACAGTCCCGGAATGGAGCATGCCAAGAAAATCCTAACAGGGCCATCCAAACATAGAACAGGAGAACTCCTAAAGGCCGGTAGGAATGGAACGCGTGTGCTCACTGCAGTGTACATGGGCCACTGCCGGCTGAGATCTCACCTACAGAGGACGGGACTGGTGGAAGACGCCAAATGCCGACTCTGTATGGAAGATGATGAAACAATGAAGCACGTTATGTGTACCTGCCCCGCTGGGAGCAGGACCAGGTTTGAGATGTTTGGCAAACCCATGCTAGACCTATCAGACCTAGGAGACATATCGCCCTCAGACATAACGGCCTATATTAAGAGGCTGGGTCTTGAGGATGAACTTTGACGCTCTTGTAAATTAGAGCTTGTAGAAACTGAGCCACAATAGGCCCTCGCGGCCTCAGTGGAGGGTCCCCTATGGGACCCACTCTTAGTCAAATACAATACAAATACGACAAGCACAAAAGTTTGAAGTTCCCTATGTGGAATGTCTGGTTTGAATTTTTATTACACTGTTAATTTATCACAATTTTCTGATCACACCATACACTGAACACTAAGAACTAAACAAACATGTTGCAGAAGCACAACAAACTAGAGATAATTAATTATTTCTGGTATGCAATCGGAACGAGAAACCACTACCGGTTTTTCAGGTTAAAGGTAAACAATTTAATAATGCGCTGCCTTCGCCGCCATATTTGCCTTCCCCAGATCATGTTAATTGGACTTCAGTTGAGTTGGTGCTGGTCAAATCAAATCGCAATGTTGCCAGTTGTTGGCTGGCGCACGAGCACGGTTCTGCAATGTGATTGGGCGTATTGTACATACGTCATCAATTGGCGCTTTAAAATTATTTCAAATTAAAGCAATTTTGAGGGCCTATAAAAAAATTATTCAATGCCATGGAACTATTTATACTGAAAATAGTCTTCTATTTCAGATTTTGTCCTTGAATTGGGTATTTTATTTTTTGTGAAAGAGACCATTGTTTCTGCAACTTTGAAACGCGATTATTCGGAAACCACTCGACAAAAAGCAACAAAGTAGGATACCACTGAAAAGAGAATTAAACGCCCTTTAAAACGATGTGCCACTTGACCCCCATTCCCATTTAAGATTGTAAGGGTGACATCTCCCCTTCCTAGGGGGTTAAAAGACAACCAAACCAAACCGAACCGTCCAATTACACAGGCATTATAGGTATAAAAATCAAATTTTAAACTAACAGTTACTATCTGGTGGTATGCAGAAATTCTATAACTTTTTAAGATTTTTGGTGTTGCCTTATTAGGTAAGAAAAATGGCAAATTTAGAGCAATTAAACGGTACAGCACCTGCCACAATTATTAAACCCTGCTGGATTTACGATTAGCATTATTGTCATTGCATTTAATGGCCATGTACCCCTCCCTCTGCGCCGCATTTCTCACGTGGGCTTGTACACACCGAGACACCATGAAGACGAAAAAAATTGCAATAGGAAAAATGTCATTCTGTTACGTCGACAGCAACTATTTCCCTTGTACAGGGTGCGGTCCATTTCATATAAATAGGTCATTTTCCCATAGAAACAGACACTTGTTGCAACCGAACGTCACGCAACATGTTTGTAAAACTGGTAAGTACAAAAAAAAATATTCTGGATTAATTTTTGGAGACAAATTTTTTTGGTTGGTATTGCCAGTAGTGTTTCAGTTAGTGTTTTATCTATTATGGTGGAGAAGATGTGCTGTCGAAGTGAATTTTTGGATTAGTGCTTTGAATTTGGACTGTATTTCTGATGCGGTAATTTTGTGATTTTTTTTTCGAGTGTTTTAATGATAACTGAATGTATAAAATGATGATTTAATACATTTACTTTAAGTTTACTACAATTATTATCATAAAAAAATACCTAGTATAAATAATTAACATATACCTAAATATGTAAAATTTTATTATTGATTTTGAAATAATCAAAAAAACTTCATTTCTCATTTTTTAAAATTATTTCTAGTTATTAAATTTTTATTTAAGTTTTTTCATTACAGAATGTTGATTGAGTTTCAAATTTTATTATTGAGTGACAGAAGGTGAATATACAGGGTGGCGCACCTCATTCGCCTCGGTTGATTATACGAAAACGGAGAGATGTAAAAACAAAATATTTTATGAGTATATGTAGAGAGACAACGTGCATAATTTAAAATTATTTTCAAATGTACAGGGTGTGTCAGAAATAAGATCCATACAAAAGTTATATTTTTTCTTATGGAACACTCGGTATTTTATTTCATTTTTGGATTCTTGGTCATAAAATAAGGCATTTATTATAAACGTTTAATATGTCTAAAAGCTTTGGTTTTTGAGATATTTAAAGATGTTTAAATATGCATGCTATAATAAAAAAGTTTCTCAACACCTTGTACAGGGTGAGTCAACGATAGAGTAAAGTCCATTATCTCATTTGTTTCGAGGTTTACAAAAAAATGTTAAATACAAAAGTTATAGGGAAGGTTAAGATACACATTTTAAAATTATTATAATGTATACAGGGTCCTTATAACATATGTTTTTTTAAATGCAACACCCTATTTTTTATTTTATTTTTAGGTTCTGCGTAAAATTCTATAACTTTTTTATATATAATGTTATGGACCTAAAATTAATAGTTTTTGTAATATTTAAATTTGTTTATACAAATGTTAAATTGCAGTGTGGTAAAAAATTGTCAGTTGTACCATTGTTTCTGAAGTTGGAATACCAAAATTTGGTATGAGAGTTCTATAGAGATTAAAAAGAAGATATATTTTAAGATATTTTAGTTAAATGCTACAGGGTGTTCAAAATATATTTATGAATTTCAACTACTTAAAATTAAAAAATCTCAAATTTTTTAAATGGTTATCACAACTTCTATAGGGTGGCTCAAAAAAGTGTGAGTGGAACTGGATGATTTTTTTTAAATGGAACACCCTGTATATTATTGCATTTTGGCTTCCTTATTTAAATAAAATTTATTTAATAAAATAATAAAATTTAATTTAACTTTCTATAATTTCTCCCCATCTAGGTGTCTCTGGCCCTGTGCCTCACTTCCACACTCGCCGCCTACCACGGCCCCCTAGCCGGCGGCCTCCCCGCCGACCTCTACCCCGCCGGCGTCTCGCCCCAAGCGTGTCCCAACTTCCCCAACTGCGCTAATCCCGCGGTCGCCGCCAATCCAGGCCAGGCCGCCAACCAGGCCTGGGGCCAGCCCGCCTGGAACAACCAGCCCAAGCCCGCGTGGACCCAGCAGCAGAACCAGTGGAACGGCAACAACCAGCAGTGGAGTAGTGGGGACCAGTGGAACGGCAACCAGAACGCTTTGGACAGGGGAGAATACACCGGCGATGGGGATTACCATGGGGAAGGATTGGCAGAGGCTTTGGCTCCCGGGTATGAGAATTCTGGCGGATGGAATAATTGGAATAATGGCGGTAAGTTTTGTCCATAGACTTAAAATAAAATATAGACTGAGCATCTCATTCATAAATAGCTGGAACATGCGGTCAGACAATGTCTTGTTATTGTTGTGTTATTGTTTTAGGTTATAACGAGTGCGACACGAGCGATAGATAGGTTGTCTCTGTCGTAACGGTCGTTCCCTGACGACTCTGCCGAGAAACACAACACTGTCTTTCATTTCTCAAGTACACATGAACTCTCCGTATCATAGCCGGGTAATTTTTTTATTTTAATGAAGCTATAATTAAATTAAAAATATATCATATTTAAATTTTTTATATTTTATTAAGATTTAGGACCGGTTTTTTAAATTAAAGTTTAGAAAAAACGTCTTAGAGTCCAAAAAGGATAAAAATAATAAAATACACGTTATAGAAGAAATTTTATAATCGAAATTACGTAATTTTTGAAATTAATAATAAATTATTAATTTTAGTCAAACATTTACAACCCCCCAACAAAATATTAATCAAAACAGGATCTATTCCACAGATATAGAATCGGCGACAGGGAGAGAAAAAAAAAATATGATTGTTGTAATTTTTTTTCTGGTTAAGTGATGTCTTATTATGTAAATTAGAGAAAACATAAATATGTTTCATTAAAGCAAGGAATGTGATAGGAAGTGGATAAAATGAAAACTACATTTATTTAATTCGGTACTGTCTTTATTATACCGGGTGCGTTCCAAAAGTGGCTCATCCCCCATAATTTTTTTATATTTTCAAATAAAAAAAACAAGATTTAGTATGTTAGTACCTATATGACATAAATTAGGATTGATTGACGCATTCAATTGTTTTTAGTCACCTGTTTCATCGGAAATGACTATAACTTTTAATTTTTAGACGGCACCCTCGGTATATTTCTACTTTATTCGATAGAAAATGACACTCTACTGAATAGAATGACATATCATATGTCAACTTTTGACATTTTCGCATATGGTTTAATTGTAATTGTAACACGCGGTTCATAACGACAATTTGACTCGAAATACCAAGTGTGTGGTATCAATATATTCATAAAAAAATGCTTTTTCCAAATATGCTAATGAGTCACCCTTGTTCCATTTGAAAAAATTGACATATTTATTATTAAAAATACGATTTGTACATCTTTTAACCGGCCTAGACAAGACACGAAACCCATTAGACGATCAAAACTATTTTTCCAAGACTCCTTGATTAAAACTTAGTGTTTTTAACAACACCATGGCACCCTGGATTGAAATTTAAAATACGATTTGTTTTTAAGCGACAATGTCAAAAGTTGACATATGATATGTCATTCTATTCAGAGTGTCATTTTTTATCGAATAAAGTAGCAATATAACGAGGGTGCCTTTAAAAATCAAAAGATGTAATCATTTCGGTGAAACAGGAACTAATCGTTTAGCTACAATACTCCGTGTCGTATGTGGTGAACAACCCTGTATTTTTAACAGCTTAATATACAGGGCGTTCCAGAAATAACTGCAGATATTTTAACTGGTAGTATATTTCGACCCCAGAAACACGCCTATGAGGTTGTAGTCTTAATCTACGACCACTGACAGTGACGTAATGACTTAGGCAGTCTCTTAATACCAACTTTTTTTGTTTCCAGGTAACCAACAGTACGCTCAACCCGCCCCAAACTGGAACCAAGGCTATCAAGGCGGCCCTAAACCAGCTCAAATTCCAGCGGGCGTAGACCCAGGCTCCTGTCCGAACTACCCCTTCTGTCATTAGACGGCGCTAGTTTATTTATAGTCTGCAGTTCCCGCCGCTAGATGGCGCCAGCTGACAATGTGTTCGTGTGCGAGTTGCGTGTAAATAAATACAAAATAAAAATGGAAAGTCTGCTTAGCGTTTTTTATTTGATTGTTCGTACCTAATTATGTATTTTTTTCTATTTTTGTGTATAGAAATACATGTTTATCTACCTAGTTATTTGTTGAAGTGTATTAATATGGTGCTTTGTAGTTCTATGTGATTTTTGGAATGGCGCAAGTATACTTTAATGAATAATAATATTAATAAAGTATTTTTTACAAAGTATTTGGGTTTTTTATTAAGCAAATTAAATTTAATTTAGTTTAGATTTGCGAACTTCTTAATCGCCGCAATAACCGCAACAAGTTTTTAGTGTCACTTTCTGAATTAAAGATGAAGTTCCCATCTGTCAAATTTTAGGAAGGAAAAAAAAATGTTGTTTATTTTGGGGAAAGTTTGGAACACCCTGTGGAATATGTTAAAAATGCACGAAATTTGAAGTTCACTTTGTCATCTAGGTGCATTTTTTAGGAGCAAAAGCAAAGGCATGGTTACCAATAGCTTTATTTTTGTTGGATATATTCGCTTCAAAAGCGAATATATCCAACAAAAATAAAGCTATTTGAGATGAACCAAGAAAACAAACTATCGAGAAAGAATGTATCTA